AATTACTCGGAGTCTTTCTCTCGCAGGGAAAAACCCAGGCATGCATGAAATGAAGCGCGTTCATCCTGTCCTCTGTTCAGTCTGATCTGCTTTTATTTGTGCATAGCATGCCTAGCCCGGCGTTCCGTCCCACAGTATGTTTTCACCTTGGCTGGTGAACAGCCTGCCGCTGGGTGCATGAAGGGAGATTGTTTTTACCTGGAGCCAAGCGTGCATGTGGTCTTATTGGCTCCCTTCTGTTTTGGGAAGCCCGAGGTGGCATCGATGGAGGTGTCTTTGGAGGGGCATTGCAGGACCCGGTTGACTGTGTGTGCATCGAGCCCAGGCTCTCCCGAATAAGGAGCAGGCTGGGAGAGTGCAGGGAAACACACGTGAATTAGGACAGGGCAGCAGTTCTCCTGGGGCCGGGGCCGGGTCCTGAGGGAAGTAAGTGCTTTTGTTTCTGCAAAGCTGAGCGCAGCCTTCATTTTGGATGGTTTTCTTTGTTTCCCTGTCGGTAGTTTGCATGAAGCCTTCAGACCACGAAGGGTGTTGATAGCATATCTCGTTCTGCCAAAAATGTGTATAGGTGTGTCTGTTCACCTGTGCCAGAGAGAATGTTTGATTCTGGGCTTTGTTTAACCGGGATGTTGCTTTCGGAGTTGAAATTCATCACAGGAAGGTGGGGTTCTTACCACTCAGACTGATGTCTGGCAACATTTTAAATCTTCTGTGAATGGTTGCCTGGATTATTTTCCACCTCACACAATAAGTAATCTTAAAATTTGTGCAATAAAGAAGGTCCATTCTGAAGGAAACCTATTTAAGTGGCCAGGGCTGAGCTTAAAGGAACCCAAACAAATGCATTGATTTTGCTTCTCTGTGTACCTTCTCCATCGAGGTCTCTTTTATTTCAGAAGAGCCCCCTGCTACCATTTAGTCCTCAAACTTGAACGTGGATATGCTCGCCGTCTCTGATCGTGGAGACCACAGAAACTTGTGTACGGAGTCACCAGTCACACGGCTGGCTGGCTGCCACCATGCGTCTGCGCTCCGTGGAGAGCCCAGTGATATCCGAAAGCCGTCAGGAATTAGTTCCCTGCTCCTGAAAAGACAAACGTGGCCATTTAAGCACTTTGTTTAAAAAAAAATGCTTTGATTTAAAATCGTATACAGGTTATAGGGGTTCCATGTGTTTTTTGGTTGAGGAAAACTTCAGATCACTAACTCTGCTCCACTGCTCCTCCCCACACCCCTCCCTAGTCCATTCTGAAGGTAATAACTCATCCAATGTAATATTTCATTCCAATTATCAGTCTTAAGGAAAAATAAGGAATATTATGAAAGTTTGTCATGTATTGTAATGCAGTGTCATCTATAATAAGAAAAGTTGGTAGTCATGCGTTATGATACAGGCTCTCTATGACTTTAAGCGATCTGCAGTGCTTAGTTTTAAGGTACCATGGGTGCTGAAATGAACATGAGAAAGGGTGCTCTACTTTGGACTCCCATGGAACAAGCCCCACCTCCTTCCGATTCCAGAAGTGGGCAGAGCAGTGGTAGAAAGTGCAACAAGGATGCCCTTGTTCACGTGTGCAGACCCTGCTCTCCCGGTTCACTCCCTCATTCTCTGTACCCACAGTAAGGCTTGGACACTCATTTGGGGAAGAACAGATTGATGTCATTCTATAATCGTCTCCCCCTCTTCATCTCCCAAACTGCTGAATCTCTTCTTACCTTTTTTAAACTACAGTAAAAAGAATCTTCAGATATTTCTGAGATAAGAAAGTAAAAAGTCGATTTCTTGGGCACTTTAACATTTTGCTCTCTCCCCTCTTTGTAATCTCATAGCTCTTTTCTGATGAGAGAATGACATTTCTGACCCATCAAATAGGTCTATTAGCCTGAACCAGAGTATAAAACATATAACATTTTTAAATTAAGACAGTCTCGGTTATAAGTAAGACTTGCGAAGTTTTTCTCCTAGCGACTTATGATCACAGCTGTAAAAGTGGCCATCAGTTTGAAAATGAAAAGTCTCTTCCTGTAGAGTATGATGTGCCACAAAGCAGCTGGGCTGAGTAAGGCCTAAACTGATTGTGACAAGAAAGGAGCACTGGGTATTGCCTGCTATTGGATGGAGGAGTATGGGTGGCTGTGGGGCTGGCCTCTTGGCCATTTGTGATATGAAAAGAACTGAGGAAGATCTGTCGTTAGCAATCAATAAATATTTCAGGGTTGACCCTCCTAAGTTTCCTGGATTGAAAAAAACATTTCAAGAGACCTTAGTCCTGTTATCTAAGTGCATTTATTTTTTTTTCTTTCATTATTTTATTCAGTAATTAGAGGCACCTATCCTGTGCTAGGTTCTGTGCTAAGCCTTAGCCAGAGAAAGATGGAAGACACAGCCCACCCCACAAGCAACAGCCTATGTAGGGAAGACAGCAAACAAATAATAGGGAGTGTAAAGAGCAGAACAGGGCACTTAGCTTGGTGAGTGCATGCAGGGTGACGAGCTCTCTATAAAGGGGACTGGGGGAGCCAGAAGGCTTCAGGATAAGAGAGCTGGTAGTGCCTGATCCAGAATGAACTGTTTCCCATCCATCTTGAACCACATTCACTACAGTTAATGTTAAGTGGGGGTTGGTGTGGGCCACAGATCTCTTCATCTATATATTATATTGACTTTCAGGTTCATCATGTGTCTTATTTGTGACCTGTATGTTAAATGTAATAAGTTGACCCCTGAACAAGGTGAGGGTTAGGAACACTGAATCCCACACAGTCCAAAATCCACAGATAGCTTTTGACTACCCAAAAACTTAACTACCTTCATTATCCCTGGGGAGGGGAGGGAGAGGATTGTCTTCAGGACTCCTCCACTTTCCCCCCGCCCAGATACCACTATCCAAGGATGCTCCAGTCTCTGATATAAAATGGCCTAGATCAATGCATACAGTCAGCCCTTTGTATCAACGGACTCCCAAGTGAGGATAGAAAACAGGCATTTATTGAAAAATAATCCATTTATAAGTGCGGAACTGCACAGTTCAAAACAATGATCAGTGGTCAAAGGTATAAATTGTAATTTTTTCTTCTATCTCTTCTAAGAATACACATTAGATGTTGCATGGAAGTCTTTTTATTTATTTTAATAGATTTATATCACATGGGATTTGAAAAAATTTTAAATGTATGTAAAAGTTTAAAAATGCATCTCAAAGAATTTACAAAATACTTTCATTACTCTTGTACTCTTAAGTAATTTAGTGATAATTTCTGAAACTGTTGTCATTGCCAGGGATTAGCATTTGTTGTTGGATGCCTGTTGACTCATTTATTTAACCAGACTCTTTTATTTATTAAAGTCATTTGTTTTGTTCATGCTTATTAAAGACAACCTTGTAAAATGTGGGCTTGGGTCATAACACTTGCATTTAATCTTACTATGATTAAGGCCTTTTGCTTTTCTTATACACTTAATTGAATTTGGACAAATTTAAATCTTGTCAAATTTGGGAGGCAAGTCCACTCTCAGGGTCACAGGTAAAATGTGTACATGAAAATAGATTTTCAATGCTGCAGGGCATGCAGTCAGAAATTCCTCCTAATGCTGTAGTGTTTTGCCCTGGTCAGGCTTCCACACTTCCTTTTCCACAAGCCGTCCTTCCCCAGCCATTACTCCCTAAGTGGGGAGTGTCCTCAGAGCTGATTGTCAAAGGCAGCAGCTCTCCAACCCTGATGACCTTCCTCTTGTGTCCCCTGTCTCTGATTGCTCCTTCCCAGTCTCCTGTCCTACCCACCTTTTGTGTGTGTTAATCCTCACCCTCACCTGAGGATATTTTTCCATTGATGTTCAGAGATAATAGAAGGGAAGGGGCGAGACAGAGAGAGAAAAACATTGATGTGAGAGAGACACATCAAGTGGTTGCCTCTCGCACATGCTTTGAACCCGAATCAAATTTGGGACCCTTCAGTCTGCAGGCCAACCTTCTATCCATAAGCCCAACTAGCTAGGGCTCCTACCACCTTTTAAGTAGATATTCCCCAAGGTTCTAACCTTCACTAGCTTCCTGTCACCTGCTTTCCGTTGGTTGGTTTATCCATTAACACTGACTTAGCTGCCACTCTTGTGTCCCTCCTTGGGGCCCTGGCTGCCCTCCTCTGCCAAGAAACTGCTTCCCTCAATAGTGCCATGGTTCATGTCCTCACTGCCTTCAGGATTTTGCTCAGATGTCTCCACCTTCCAGCCCAGTGGGACATTCTGAGATAGTATCTATTATATTTAGTCTCCTCTTTCTGGAGTATAGACTCAGAGGTCAGAGATTTTGGTCTTAACCCCCAGAGCCTAGAATAGAACTTGGTTCCTGAGTGGGCCTCTGGTTCCTGGTCTGAAGTGGGGGTTGTGTACCACATGGGCTCTAAGACCCTTTGAAACTCTTATCACCCTATCTATCAACCTTGGGTGGATTGACTCGGTTCCAGAAATGAGATGAAGTCCTGGAGACCTTTGTTTAAATGACTTCTCACAACTGGCTGTTTATATTCTCCTTTCTGTATGATTGCTGTCTAAGGTTGAATGTCTCCTTAAAAAAAATACAGCTGAGCCCTGGCTGGGGTGTGCAGTGGTTGAGTTTTGCCCTGTGTACTACTGAACCGTCTCAGGTTCGGTCCCCAGTTGGGGCATGTCCATGATGCAACCAATCAATGTTGCTCTCTCACACTAATGTTTTTCTCTCTCCCTCTCCCTTCCTCTCTCTCTAGAATCAATGAAAACCATATCCTTTGGTGAGAATTTTTTTAAAAAAACACAGTTGAAGGAAGCAAAAACACTTGGTTTTAAATGAAGTTTATAAAAACTAACACATTTTGGTTTACCTTTATGTTTGTTATTTGTATTTTAAAACTTACTGATAGACTTTTAAAAGAATTATCATTTTCTGTTGCCATATATATTTAATAGACTGCCTACTTCTGTCAAATAAAACAATAATGGCAGTCTTTTATTTCTCTAATTTCAGATACTTCCTGCTGCAGGAAGTACTTTAAGAAAGGAAGGATTCCCGTGACTTCTGCCTACCATCCCTGAAGTACTCATTCCTTTCAAGTAAGTATATTGCTTTGCTTTGACCCATTCTCAGCAGAAGTTATTGATTTTCTCTGAAAACCTGTGTCATTATAAAAATAACAGCAAGCTAGTCAGGGTTTGGGGAAGGTTACATGGCATAGTTCTGGAAGTGCCTGACACACATAGACATTCCAGAAGTGGAGGCCCCTCCTTCCTCCCTCCCAGAGGAACTATCTGGAGGAGACAGTCCGTTCCCTTCGCAGGCATAGCTGTCTTGAGCTTTGTCAGTATCATTATTTAGCTAGGTCCTGCTCTAGGAAGATTAAAAAGGGTTTAAACATGTGATTCATTAACATAATGTCACCTGGGTTATCCACACTAAATGCTGGCCCCTACATCTAATTCTTGAATAGATCATTGTGTACAAGTTACTTGAAGTTGGTTTTATATCAGTTTCCCCATGAATAAGATAGGAACATTTAGTGCTTTAAAAAATATTGTGAAAAGAATATTTTTTGTCTTATTGGCCAAATGTTTTCCACTATTTTGGGCCATTTTTTTTTTTTTTCATTTAAAGTTCATTAAATCTGGGATCTTATAAAGATATGTGTATTATATTGTCATCAACTTCTTTCACTACTCCTCAACTCATGTATTTATGATTTGTTCTTAAAATACAAGGACAAATCTTTCTTAAAAGTGGTACCATGTTAAAAAATTAATAAATAAAATAAAAAGAAAATGAAGGCATAAAATGACCTTGTAGTAGTCTTTCAGTCAAACTTTTTGAACTTAAAATATAAAACCTCCTGTGTAAGGTATGTATGTATGTGTAAGTCATCTTTAAAGGAATACAATACCAATTTCTATCCATTATTAATGTGATTGGAATTTCAGGTTATAATGTTCCCTTTGGTTTTAGTTTCTCCTTATCTTTATCAAACTCAAGTAATTGATAGTTCCTATTGGAAAGTTTTCTTTTTCACAACTTCCCTGGGAGGGATTTTTTGTTCTTTTATAGCATGAGTGGTAGATACTTGAGAAATTGCTGGGAGCATAAACAAACTTTTGCAGATATTTATTTATTTATTTGTGTGTGTGTGTTTGTGTGTGTGTGTGTGTGTGTGTGTGTGTGTGTGTTAAATGGTCCTGACCAAAAATAAGTGCTAATTTTCTCCATTTCAGTGTTCCCTAAAGTTGGTCCTCCATCGAGAGTGATTTGTTCCTTGTCCATGACTCATCTGTCTTTCACGCCAGAATCTCTCTGAGTTTTGCCTTTTCCTAGATCAGCTCTTTGCCAAGTGAATGACTCAGGGCTCAGGTTCCACCAGGACAGTCAGGTGTGGCTCCTCCAAAGCCGTCTCAGCTGACCTTGAGCAAGGTGTCCTTGGGAGCCAGGGAGAGCCAGCCACAGTAATGAGACCCAAGCAGATAGTCGAACAGAGCCAAGCTCTTGACCTTGTGTTGCTGCTTTAAAAAGAGAGAGAGAGAGAGAGAGAGAGAGAGAGAGAGAGAGAGAGAGAGAGAGAGAGAGAGAAGGGGACATTCTCCAGAAAAAAAGTAGCTAGGATTTTAGTTGTTTTATTCTGCTTACTAGTATTTATAAGAATTCAGTAGGCTGCTGAAAGTATAGACATAGGGCTGTTCCCCTCTCTGAAATAAAACACTCTTATATTCACATGGAAAGTGTAGTTCTGTTTTAGAAGATTTAACATATATTTATTATGAAGTTCAAGAGATCACTATTGATTACAATTAAATTGTTAAATTATCAATTTATTTGGCATATTTAATCAAGTGAAAGACAAATTCTGTAAATTACTATGTGCACCTAATTTTTTAAAAGTTACACATGACTATTGCAAATATAAATCAGTCCATTGTCAGTGTCATCATAGCTTTCCTACAAAGATCAGCAGAAACATTATCTGTGGAAAGTCTGTTCTCGGAGAAGGTGCTGGAGGTGCCGTGTGTTTCATCACAGTCTCTGCTTGCCCTCCAGAGCAGGTATTGGAATCTTCATTGAGTAGATGAGGATGCCAGAATTAAAGAGTTAAACCTCATACCAAAAGGGAGCCAATGGCAACACATGTGCTGGGTATAAAACCCAAGTCTCCCAAGGCTATTCTATCAAACCTTTACCAGACCTTTCAGACCAGTTTACTTTCGTGTGATGATGGGTCACAAATGGAATGGGAAAGTTGGTTGGGGAAGCTGTGCAGTGGAGAAGGCAGAATGAGAAAATGACAAGGAAACATGGATCTCTGGTGGAATATTCTAGAATCCACAGAAAGTCTTCAATTAATTAAAGAAGGGAAGAGAACAAAAAGTTAAGGAATGAGAGATGGAGACCATAACAGCACACACATTAGAGATACAGAGTGATTTCAGTTAAATGCCAGGAGAAGTGCTAGACTGTCAGTGCTTCCATACTTTATTCTCCATCCTGTTAAGTGTCTGTTCTTATTAGTAGGTGTGGATTGAGAAAGTGTTCCTGTGTTCTGGCTCGTCAGAAGTTCAGAGAGATGTGAAGTCCATCAGGACTGTGTGATCAGTGAGCATTAGAGTGTCCTCTCCTCTCTGGTCTGTCTCTTTAACAGCCTGTGCAATTATTGCACTCTTCCACAGTGCTGTGGGCGGAATATTCGTGTCCCCTGCCAAGTCATCTGTTGAAATCCTACTACTCAATGTGATGGCATTAAGAGGTGGGACCTCTGGGAAGTGGTTAGTGCCTTTATCAGAGAGGCTCAGAGAGGTCCATAGCCCTGTCTGTCCAATGAGGACACAGTGAGAAATTAACAACCCAGAAGAAGGCCAACATCAGAACACACCGTGCTGGCACCTTGACCTTGGATTGCCAACCTCCAGAATTGTGAGAAATAAATGTTCATGTTTAGGAGCCGCCCAGTCTGTGGTATTTTGTTATAGCCACCCAAACACATGAAGAAACTTAGATTGAAAGTGGTCTCTGTTTTGGGGTAGTGTTTGGGCATACCTCCTCTTATAGCTTTACATATCTTTCTTGGTCTGTCATTGTGCTAAAATGTATGTCTTACTTGTACTTGAGTGTTATGGGTCTAATTCTTGATAGGACACATTGAAAACAGAGCTGCTAAGCATTATCTCTGGTCAAAGAGAGACAGTTTTCACCATCATAGTCAGTGAGAAGGCCCTTCCTCTGGAAGGGAGCCCTGGTGAGTAAGTAACTCCTGGTGCTGGACCACGTAGGCCCAATCAGGCATCAAGCCCTGCTGACTTTTCCTCATCCATTGTGCATTTGCATTGCTGTCCCTTAATCAACCACTCATGACTAAGCTATATGCTGGTCTGCCTGCCTCTAGGATAGCTCAGTTGGGTGGAACCTTGGCCCATGCACCAAAATGTTGTGGTTCAATTCCCAGTCAGGACACATACCTGGATTGCAGGTTGATGCCAGGTTGGGGCATGTATGAGAGGCAACCGATCAATGTTTCTCTCTCACATTGATGTTTCTCTATCTCTATCCTAAATGTTAAACTAATCAAAGTAGGGAGTAATCAAGGCATAATTAGCTTTATCAAAGGCCCTTTAAGTCTGGACTTCTCAACTGCATTTAAAATAGGGATTTGTTTACAAAATCCTGCTTAGATATAATTCTGTTGTTTTTTTGTTTTGTTTTGTTTTGTTTTTTAGCTCAAACTGAGTGTTCCCTAGAAATTCATGCATTTCACATTCAACAACTCAATTAGTTATGATTGGCCTAAATTCAGTAATTGCCATATCCTTCACTTTGGAGGAGGTACCATCTCACAGGACCACGCATCAGGGCTGATGCAGAATAGGGAGTGAGTGCAGCCGTCTGCTGTTCACACTCACAAGTGTCATGCTCTACGTGTAAACCATTCATTGTTTCCATAACAAATGTGGATTTGGTGCCTCATGCACTTGGGGTCCACTGGGGATAAGAAATGTTTCCTGCTCCTAAGTAACATTCTCAGTCATTGCTGTGAAGAGATAACAACTTTAGAGGGACAACTATATATTTGTCCTGGAGTTGGAAGTGAAGAAAATGTGAAGTCCAAGAAGGTGATGGGTTTTAGGCAGCACTGAAGTCTGATTTTGCATAAGAGTAGTGTGGCTAATTCAGCAATAGTTCATTCTACAGCAGAGGAAATGTTCCACTACTGAACTCTGCAGTCAAAGCTTTGGTCTTTTCTAATAGGCCATAGGGGGGTCAGTGAATGCCAGGGGTCTTTTCTGTATATTCTGAGAAGTGTGCAGCCTGTTTTTCCTGAGGGTCAAGACTCCTTTGGAAGGGTGCTTGTGACCAAGACCTGGCTGGCTGACCTTCCCATCTCCTATGGAGGAGAAAAGAAGGTAGTGGAATGTATTGCTGATATGCACCTCATGCAAGAGATAAAATAACTGTCCTAGCCGATTTGGCTTGGTGGATAGAGCATCGGCCTTCAGACTGAAGGGTCCCAGATTCAATTCCTATCAAGGGCACATGCCTTGGTTGTGGACTCAATCCTCAGTAGGGAGCGTGCAGGAGGCAGCCAATCAATGATTCTCTCTCATCATTGATGTTTCTATCTTTCTCTCTCCATCTCCCTTCCTCTCTGAAATGAATCAAAATATATATATATTTAAAAAAATAGATGATAAAACTATTTTGAAGCATCACTGAAATGACAATTAGCCTATAAATAGTGTCAGAGTTTTAAATGATACAAGATTCTCATGCTTTCGTTCTATCCAGTTAGAAGGAAAAAAATGGATCTCAAGTTTGTTTTTTTCAATCATGACTTCTTGCTGGTAAGCTTAACACCCTGAATACCTACCAGCCTCCCTCTCCCAGGTGAAGAGAGGGTGATGAAGTGCCACTCTTCACCTGTTCATGGATTACTTCCCAAGAAGTTCCTCTCAGGCGCCAGTGGAGTTTTCATAGCACCATTGCTAGGAGAAATATGGTAAATATTTCCACCCAGTAGCATTAGATTCTAAGCAGAATCCATGGAATAGCTCTCACTTTCTGTTTTCCCAGGATCCCCTCCCAGTGT